GATTTGGAAAAATATGAAAGGATACAAATTTCCTTCCCCACCACCAGTACTTTAAGAATTAGAGCCTTTTTTAAAATTTATCTTTTATTTACAATGTTTTATTAAGTACATTCTTGCAATTCACCTGCTGCTGCTCTGGAATATTTCATTCTCTTTATTTCAAACACTGCTGATATTTTTTTCTGCATCTTCAAAGAAACGTTCAAAATCTATTTTGTTTTCAAATCAGACTAGGGCAAAATGTTCAGACCTGGGTACTTAAATTAGACACTGTCACCCTGCAAAGAATAACTAGGCTAGTGGAAGCCAGGATGAGGCCTTATGCTTGTGGGCAGGCTACTGGTGTTAGAGATCTGAACCATCGCTGCACCACACCAAAGCACCCTGAAGCTATAGGGCAGGCGGTGACAGAACCCCTTAATGGCCTGGGTGGTCCCCAAAATATCACAGACTCAGTGGTGCTGGAACCCTTTTAATTGTGGGGGTGCTGAAAGCCAACCCTCTTACCCCGTCCATGACCACCCCCCCAGCTGGGGATGGGAGCAGTGACATGTCTCCGGGGGGAGCGGCACCCATACAGAGGTAAAGGGGAAAGGCTGGGGGCAGGCACGGGGCCAGGAGTGGAACCCCAGGCAAGGGGCCTGTGGTCAAGGAGCAGGGCCAGCACCCCAAGAGCAGAGCCCCGGGTGTGGGGCCCCGGACACAGGGCCAGCGGCCGGGAAGTGGGCCAGCAGCTGGGACTGAGTTAGCCAGCGCCGGCGGCCAGGACCCAAGCCCCCAACTTGGGAGTGGAGGCCTGGGCGTGGGGCCAGTGGCCCCGCATAAAACCTGGGTGTGCTGCAGCACCCGTAGTTCCCACGCCTATGCATAGACTCCAACTGAAAACCTATATTTAAGTGTTTTTAGAAAAGTGCCCCAGTATTCAAAGGTGCTGAGCACTTGTGGTTCTTACCACCTTACGTGGCAGGGGCAGATGCTTAGCACTGCTGAAAATCAGGGTAATATTTACGTGCCTTAGTATGGATTCCTGTTCTAAGTTTAGGCATCCACATTAGAACTGTTTAGCCATAACTATAGATTCCAGTGAATTTTTGCACAGAGCTGTGAAGTAATTTATCCCATTAACTTGAAATCACTCATTAGTGTTGATTCAAGACACAGAGCCGTACAATCAATATTGTTTCCAGTTATTGTTTCTAACACATTTTGCTCATTCAAAACACTCTTTAAACTCTTCTTTTACATGATGCCTATAAAACACTTGACAACACCGAGGCTGCCGGCGTGCTGACACCACTGCTGATCATGTTAACCGATATTGTCTTATTGTTTCCTTGTACTCTCTTGCCTGTCTGTATCCATCTCTTGTCTTTGGGGCAGGGACTGTCTCTTTGTTCTAGCATAATAAGGTCCTGGTCAATGACCAGGGCTCTTAGGTGCTACAGTAATATAAATAATCTTCTTCTTTCATATGGAGATAGTGGAGGAGATGAGAACCTTCTTGTGGTTTCCCCTGCTACATGCATAAACACAACGAATGTCATCAAATTGGCAACTAAATGTCCTGAAAAGGCCTCCCGGTCAACCAAGCGATAGTAATACAAATAATAATAAATACTACTATCAAGCTGCTGGGATACTATATGGATTGACAGCTTGGCAATAGGCCAGAAACGTTCTTACCTCTATCCCACTATTTTGAATGGTGGTATTATTTGGCAGTTGTTTGGAGACCTACATAAGGTGCGATGGTGAATTTCAGACTAGTTTCTCATGATATGCAACTCAGTACACGACAATCAGCTAGCCTTCATGGTATATCGGTGGAAAGGCCCGGGAATGAATGGAATAGTAAAATAAACCAAATTCTTATTCCCTAGATTTAAACACTCCAGATGAGAAGTTAGACTCTGTGAAGGTCAGTACAACAACCTTTGATCCAGCTTCCTTATGGTGTGCCTGTTCCATTCATGTTGCAGTTTACCTCTCCTCTAGGGTGACCAGATGTCCTGATTTTATAGGGACAGTCCCGATTTCTGGGTCTTTTTCTTATATAGGCTCCTATTACCCCCCCACCCCCTGTCCCGATTTTTCACACTGGTCACCCTATTCTCCTCTTCCTCTTTACCAAGAAGCCTCTGAGCCCCTACACTTACCCCCTCTAAATTTGAGGGGTACACAGGATCGCAGCACCACTGAACTTTGGCTAGTACAAAGGCTGTGGGCCAGATGGCTAGCCTGGCTCCATGGCCTATGTATATACTGTAAACTGCCAGACAATTATAACAACTGAGCTTTTAAGGGCTCCTTCTGTTCCTAATACAGAGCACAGGCTTCCCTGTAAATGGGGGTCAGAAAAACTGGCAAAAATTTTGAATCGCCCTGGAAAATAACATGGGCTTCAATTACAAGAAAAGTTTGCAACTTAAACTAATTTAGGAACCTTGACCTAGACCATGGTCCACAAGCATTCCCTCCTTCCACTAGTTATTCTCAAACACTCGGACATATTTTGCGGTAACATGAGTCAGCAAAATAGGATTTGTTTTCCAACCAAGAGATTCTGCCAAGTATGATTAATGAATTAACATATGCTAGAAATTAGAATATATTTAATTCAGGATTAAGACCCCCAATCTATTTTATTCAGTCATCATAAAAGGATGTTCTAGGGATTAGCATATTGAGGCGGGATGTGACGCAGCAGTAGTTCATTTGCTCATCCAGCTATTTATCTGGTAATGTTTATGTTTTACAATGATAAGTCTTGGTTACTATTTCTGCTCTAGAATAATTTGTCACTTATAATAACCTTTTGTGGAGATTCAAGGGGAAACATCACTGGCTTTTTCAGTGCTGGAATGGAGCTGCCAGTTAAAATTACATCATAACAATAGCAGAGATGGTTCTAACTCAAGCGCCTCCAAAAGAAGAGGGGAGTCAGGATTGGAGCATGGATTCAGATCTGAATTTCAAGACTGGGCTCTATTTCTGTAAGTGCTGAATCAAATTCTCAGAGGATTGAAATCCAGATCAGCATCTGAATTTTGTGACTTGGGAACCATCTGTTGTTAGTGAAGACTGCAGTTTATGGAAAGGAATAAAGGGATCTCTCTTTAAAATATATTATTATTATTATTATTATTATTAGATAAAAAGGGTTTTGTGATGGATGCATGTACAGCCTATGCGAGACATCTCAAATGGCTTGCCCTTCATATTTAATATGAAAGTGAATTAATACATTTAAAAAAAAACAAACACAAACCTCTACCTACAAGATCTGTATATAAAATAACTTTCTTGTTTGTCTCAATCACTCACATCTGAGAACTCTACAGTTGGTATCTTCTGTTTGAAACAGCAATATGTTAAAGCACACTAGGGAACTTTTAGTGCACACCAGCAGGGTCTACATGGAACAATTTGCGCACTTTAAAAATCTCACATCCTTACTACACATTGCTGCACCATGTAGATATTGAGATATCAAATATTTATCATGCCCATGTTCAAAAACCGCTTACCAAGTTACTGATTATCTAAATTCTTAATTCAGTATTTTAAACAAACAAGAAAAAGCGTAGTCATGTTTAATTGTGAAAAATCCACCAAGACTTGTACTTAAAAAAAAAATTCAAGTCTGCCCCAAAAAGAGAGGAATACTTCTGGTGAGATCTGTTTTGTATCAGTGTGAGGGGTAAGGGCAGGGAGGAGGATAAAATGCTGGAGGCCTCAGGGTTCTGCCACACCCATCCCAGAAAAGGAGCAGTGGAGAGGTCCTCCAAGCAGCCTAGACTGGTTGTGAGGAAGCACCCAGAGGGGCCACTGGAACAGCCAGTCAGGGGGCCAGGAGGACCATATAAAAGGAGCTGCAGAATAGAGCAGCAGTTAGGTGCTGCTTGGAGCTGGAGAAAAAATGACTACATGCCTGGTTGGAAGAGCAGCAGGTCCAAAGACAGTCCGCTGGCAGGGACCGAGGGAGTGGGAGGCTTCTGGCTGCCTGCTAGGACTGAGCCAAAGACGGTTTGCTAGCAGGGACTGGGGGAGCATTGAGGGAGCTCTTGGCTGGCTGCAGAGACTGAGTAAGTACTGAGCCTGGGGAGGGCCACAGGAAGATAGTGTCTCCAGGGAGGAAGCCTGGAAAAAACTGCCTGAGAACCACCAAAAGGGGTCACCAGAACTGAAAGAACACAGACACACCAGACCAGAAGGGGGCGCTCGCAAGAGGTGGGTGCTGACCCCGTTACCGGCCCATATTTCAGAAATGCCCATGTGCAAAATATGCCCAGGCAATTACAACAAATGATGCCTAAATGACTCATTTGTATGTTTAATTATTGTGGCTGCATGAGCAATATTGCCAACTGGATATGCAAGTTATATGTGCGCAGTTCAGAAAAATCTATGCATAAGAACTGCAGGGGTGTGAGTGTGTGTACGTGTGTCTACAGAGATAAGCAAAACAGGGTCTTGTTTTTGACAGATCTATACAAAAAAAGCCACCAGCCACACATGGTCTTTGGGTACTGTTGATTGATTAAAGGAGTCCAAAAGCCTTGTGTGCATGTCAGTTTTTGGTTGCTATAGCCTCAGTTAAAAACAAAACCAGACACCAGATATCCCATCTTCTACTCCTGAGGGAATGTACTGTTCTCGAATGGAACTTCATGACTTGTCATGTGGACATCAATACTGGACAAGCACATCTGTTAGGTGACTATTACTGTGAAGTTCGTGCCAAGGTTAAAAACATATCGCTCTGATAAACCCGTTTTACCAGGACTGATCGTGTTCAAGTAAAAATCGTATACACATCAAAATAATGCTCCTCTGTCCCAAGAGGAAAGAGAGAAAACACCTCTTTCTGTCTGGCTTCCATGCTCTTTAATTTTGTCCAGCATATATCTACCACTGTGATAGATGCTATATAAAAACCTAAGAGAAATGGATGAATTATTTAATATCACAATTTGATGCTAAATTTTGTCAAGACTTACCCGGCCCACGGCTCTGGGGAATGGCGGTCTCTGATTTTCTGGAATTAATATTGGTGTTGCCACAATGGCCCTTTTTTGTCTTAGAATTCCAAGACTGCCATCTTCAATCTTAAAGATTTCCTAAAAAAGAAAAATGAGGGAAGTAATTATCCAAGACCTCCAGGACAGCATGAATTTATTATCCCCATTGCATAGATCTTAATTTCTGAATAAAAAATTCCAGGTGCCAGGACCTTGCTAATACATTCTCTCAACCCTCATTAGCAGGAAGAGTATTGTTAGTTCAAGACTCGAACCAGTTTTGTGATTAATGAAGATTATCTTTAAACTATTCAGTCTGATCTTCAGGATCATTCCATTTATGATGATGCCAATAATGATTTATGCATGCACTGTTCATCTTGCATTCCTGTAGCCTAACTCAGCCTAAGTAGAAAAACCAGCCTAGCTTGAAAGCAACCACAATGGCTCTATAAATCTCCACCTCTGACTGCGCTACCTTCCCAGCTGATGAACCTGTTAAATCTTAAAAACTAAATGAGGTCTGGCCAGCTAAGTGCTTGGGTAGGAGACCTGCAGGTAAACAAACATACTGGTGGAGTTGGTGTTGGTTAATTCAACTAGTATCACATTTCCATCCGAGTCAGGTAGAATCAATCCTCAAAACCTAGTGCTAAGCAATTTCCATGTATTTCAGATGTTGGTTGGGGGATCAGTTGTGGAAGTGAAGTAGGTTTTGATAATTTATGGCCATTAAAGATCCCATGACAGTTTTGCGTGATCATAGTAGCTATATCCCTGAGGGAATCTAGGTAAATTTCAGCAGGGGTAATTACATTCTACATTTGCCCTCCCTTCTGGACCCAAACTGCTGTGTACGGGTGTTGTTATAACAACAGTTGCATTATACCCCAGAGGTGGATGTATTTCAATAGTGGTTGATGCAATCACTTTGTAATTCTGCAAATGAGCTTTCTAAAAGGCACGATTTGTAGGTGTCAACAAACAACAAAGGGCTATTCTTGCTGCTATCTTGCTAAGTGCCTCCATCTAATATACAGTCTGCAGTAACTGAAAACTGTTGCCTCAATTGGTTTTAGTATCAGTTTTCAAATTTGACAATGAACAGAAAGCAGGGGAAACTCAGGCCTGCAACACTCAACTCTAATCCTGCTGAAGTCAAAGAGGAGGAAGAATGATCAAGAGAATCTGTTTTCAGCCTTCATTACTTTGACGCCCACCCTAATAATATCATTTTCCCATCCATCCCTTGTGCCTTGCCACCTCTCTCTAGTCTTTCAATCTGCAAGACACTTGGGTCCGTGTTTTTGTTTTGTCTTTCAATTTCTCTCCCAAAAGAATTTTGCCTAATAAAAATTCATGAGAAAGTTGAAGACAAAAACATTGGAAGTGTCAAAATAAAAAAAGCTGAATTCTACCCAAAGGCAAATGTACAATACAGTAAGCTTTCAAAGTCACTTCTGCTGTAAATACAGGCAGGAGTTTAGGCTGCCATGTGTCTGTGTGACGTGGTTGAGGAGCGTGACAAGGAATGAACGTTGATATGTCTAAAATGAAAAGGTTCCTTTACTCAGCTTAGCACAAACAGAACTACAGTGATGACAACTTTGATCCATGCTGACTCCTAGTCTCACAAACCCCTCTGAGCTCATGAAGGGCTACATTATATTGAAGAAGAATCTCCCAAAATGCCTTTGCAAATGAAAAAGGCAACAGAAATTGACCCCTGCCTGTAGTATGGATCCCTGTGCGCTTGTTCAGTGGGAGGCATTTCCAGATGCACACCACTCAAAGGCATGATCAGCATTCAGCAACAGACAGGCAATATCTAGTGCCAGATTTCCATATGTACTGCTGTATCATGGTGTCTTATGTCTATTTTTGTTGCCAATACAAATTAGGACTAGCTCTATCTAGAACTCATTTCCATTAGTTCTGGAAGACTTTGAGTCAGGAACAATTAATTTATACATTTCCCCCTCAATCGATCATTAATCTTTTCCACTTGCAAAAAGCCAAAGATTATGCAATTGGTCACTTCCTCAGTCCACATTTATTATCACAAAGTGTTGGAAGTGTCAAAGGGGGTAGGAAGACTAGAAGACCTCACCTCTTCATTCTGAGCAAGATATTGGAACAATGAAGAATTCTTCCGGGGTTTTACAACGAGTCCAGTGCAGGTTGGGATGGGGCTTTAGTAGTTCAGTCAGAGATGTCTGAATACTCATATAGAGTAAATTTCATCCCTGTACAGATGACTATGCACCACTTACAACTGATTGTTGACTTTTTAGTGGTGACTATTCTCTTTCTTGTCATCTACTGAAATTAAAGGGATGCTTGCCCCTCTGCACAGGTGTACATTTCACCCACCGTGCAAACATGACTAATTAAGATAGTAGCCTATATACATCACTATCAAGTTCACATAAACAGAAGCAGAAAAAGAAAAGGGAAGCTGAAGAATTCTCTACTGGCCGCCATTAAGATGTCAACATTTATACATATATATCAGGGGTCGGCAACGTTCGGCATGCGGCTCGCCAGGGTAAGCACCCTAGCGGGCTGGGCCAGTTTATTTACCTGCTGACGTGGCAGGTTCGGCCGATCGCGGCCCCCACTGGCCGTGGTTCACCGACCAGGGCCAATGGGGGCGGTGGGAAGCCGCAGCCAGCACATCCCGCGGCCCGTGCCGCTTCCCGCCGCCCCCAATGGACCGGGCGGCGAACCGCAGCCAGTGGGGGCCACGATCGGCCGAACCTGCCGCGTCAGCAGGTAAATAAACTGGCCCGGCCCGCTAAGGTGCTTACCCTGGCGAGCCGCGTGCCGAACGTTGCTGACCCCTGATATATACACACACACATATATACACACACACCTCTACCCCAATATAACGCGACCCAATATAACACGAATTCAGATATAACGCGGTAAAGCAGTGCTCCGGGGGGGGTGGGGGGCGGGGCTGCGCACTCCGGCGGATCAAAGCAAGTTCGATACAACGCAGTTTCACCTATAACGCGGTAAGATTCTTTGGCTCCCGAGGACAGCGTTATATCGGGGTAGAGGTGTGTGTGTGTGTGTATATAGCCCAGTTACCACAATGACTTCCTTTTCTAAGTAAAAGGGGAAATTATGGTGTGTCAGATAACACTGTGCAGTAGCAGTTGGCAAATGCTGACTTGTTAATGGTGACCAACATATAAACACGGAAGCTCAGAATTTGGGAATTCTGTGTTTACACACAGCCTGATCAAATGAAGTCACAGAAAAGATTTGCATTGACTTCAATGCATACTCAATAAGGCCTGTAGTTTGTATATGTAATCACAGTAGCTAGGTTCACCCTTTTCATTTCCTGGAGCACAGTGCAAAGATTATGAAATCATTTCAAATGGCAAAAGTTAAACCTTTTAATAACATTGTAAGCTACTGTCTCAATATCACTAATATTATTACTGTATTACAATATTAGCATCTCTTAGTAGGCTGTACCCAAAATAAAAATGCTGTCTCAGCAATAGGATTTTGTTATAGAAACTATAGAAGCAAAACCCTGCCACTGATAACTGGTTAGTAGTTACCAATTAAACAATAGGACTCAAGCTTTCTTCATGCTGTTTGTGCAGAATGCATTGCTAGGATTGGGCCAGGCAGCTCCAGTGATCCAATTCAACTTAATGAAGGCAATGGAAAGCAGGGCCGGCTCCAGCTTTTTTGCCGCCCCAAGCGGGGGAAAAAAAAAAAAGGAAAACCCGATTGAGCTCCCACCGAAGACGAAGAGACGGAGTGAAGGACCCGCCGCTGAATTGCCGCCGAATTCTAAAGCGGAGCACTGGAGCAGCCGCCAAAGTGCCGCCGAAGACCCAGACGTGCCACCCCAATACTGGACAGAGTGCCGCCCCTTTCTATTGGCCGCCCCAGGCACCTGCTTCCTTTGCTGGTGCCTGGAGCCGGCCCTGATGGAAAGACTCCCACAATGTTAGTGCAAAGGAGTTAATCACAGGTAGCTGTTGAAAGGGTTCAACCTCAGATCTGCCATCCTATTTAAAAGGTGGCAATCTTAACTCCATTTACACTTAGCATGGAAATTGTGTTACAAAGTTTTTCTTTATTATGTTTCTCCTTTTCAATAAACAAGGGAGTAGGAGGTGGAATTAGCATTATTTATTTTTAACTTTTTGAAATAAATATTTTGCCTAGTCACTTACAAGGATACAGCTACTGTCTCCCTAGACAATGGAGAATCGGGCCGGCATCCAACTTTCACTTGACTATCTGACTCACCACAAGCTTTGCACCAGGCCTTTCACTTTACTGAGTGCCATTTTTAGATACAATACCAGTAATTTAATTTAATTTCCTAGTCACATTAAGCAAGCCTCAAGCATGGAGTAGGTTCATTTTTCTAACGTTTAGGCATGTGCTAAAAAAAAAAAAAGAAAAGAAAAGAAAAAGACTAATCCAAATAACTGCAATGACCTCGAGTTGATAGAGGTCAAGTCTACCTAATGTAGGATGTTACACAGGTTCAGACTTTCTTAGTTCCCTTGAGAATTCTCAACTCAGCTTTTTTCCCCCCAACCTGTGGTAAGGGTCTCTTTGAGGACTTAATACCGCTTGAAAATTTGAATAAATAACCTAGCACTTTCCAGTAACAGGCACCATTACTCTTGGCAGAGAAAACTTCATTAGAACTTGTCAGGGGAATAAGTTAGATGGCTGAACACTCATCAATTTGTCACAATAAGGGTTGGAAATACCACTGGAGTGGCAATCTGTAACCCATTATTGGTGACCAGGAAAGCAGTTGCGTTTCTTGTCATTTAGTTGTTTTTTATAAATTAGGTTTGATGGTGTAAAGCTGGGTCAATAGCAGGTTCCATTACAAAAAAAATAAACAAAGTTAATTTTCTTTTTACTGCAAGCAACCTGCCCCCCTCCTGGAAATTACAATTTAATATGGCATTCGGTTGTGTAACATGGCTGTGTGATGTAAAAGAGCAGCTGGAGGTGGCTGCATATCAGTGTTGGGAGATATAGTCTCTCTTTATCCCTTATCTACTGTATTTCAAAGAGGGTGTTTGATTTATTTAATG